CACACTGAAATTGGAAAATATGTTTTCTTCCTGCATTTTTAAAACTTTTATATTCTTTCAAGGTTAAAAAGGTCAAAACCACTATAAGCAAGCAATAATAATTTAGAAGAGGTTGAAGGTTACACACTGGTTAGTGGTGAAGGTTCTTCCACTAATATCACTGGTTAACAGTACTGTTATAACCGCAATGTGGAATGCATGGTGCTGCATTTAAAGGAAGTGGTAAGGGTGGGGCAAAAGCAGTAGGTCCCACGATCAAAGCACTAGAGCATTGAATTTTACTTATAACCCAATCACTGACACCCACACAGCAACTTCCTGTACTTTAAAAAAAAAAAAAAAAAAGAAAAAGAAAAAAAAAAATCTGTTTCTCTCTTTTTGTAATCAACAACTTTTACCTAGAAACTAGTTAGCGGTGAACTCTGACTGATTTCAATCTGCAGCTCATGGCAGAAAACAGAATTGTTAATCTGTGAGAACCTACAAAAACCATTTTAACTGCCAGGTTTCAGTGTATCAGCTCTTTCAGACTTTTTTATTCTTAATTACGCAGAAGTCCTACAAAACCCAAGAACTAGTGTAAGAAATGTAAAGTGACCAGAAGTTCAGTAGCGCTAAAAACTACAGGTAATCCTCTATGACAGAAAATAAAACACACTTATAAATCTACAAAACTTAGCTATGTTTTAAGACAGCTTGAGAAAATAATTTGCACTGGAATTTAGATCCCTGTCACAGGGCACCTTTGCTTAAGTATGTCAATATACACTACTATTATTTTTGTTATTTTGTAATTAATACTGTCTTGGTTTTGGTGCTTTTTGAGCATTATTCAAGATACAGCAACTATTAATACAGAAAACCTTCCACTTCTCTCGGAAGAAACCTTCAAGTTCTCCAGTACCACCTGGTGAACATCAAATTACTTCAGCCAAGTCCCAGGGGAGCTGTATGAAACCTCATGTCCATTAGGAACTTCACGGACTATGAATGCATTCCTGAAGAGAAAGAACATGCACAAACTCCCTTGGGAACTTTTATTAGAACAGTCTAGTCAGAAGAACTAAAGAGCTTTTTCTTAGGTGATCTTCCTCAACTTAAAAAGAGAAACTTAAACCAGGTGAGGGACAGAGACAGTGATTTTTCAAATCTTTCCATGTAACAGGTATGTTGGAGCTTTGATGTATACTGGTATCCAGGCTTGCTGCCTCTGCAACACCTTCTCCTTGTCATTCTCTATTTTTATTCACTGATTCATTAGCCTTCCTCCAACTCTCTTTAAAGATTCTGCACTTTACCTTTAAATAGTTATATTGAAAAAACACAATAGAGCATTTAATCAGAAAAACAAACATGAAATTTCTCTAGGACCAAGCAAGGATCAGTTTAAGACTCTGTAACATCTGAAAGATCTTGAAAGACTTTGGTTCAAAAAGGAGTGAGAAAGAAGCAAAATGATTTATGAAGAACAGAACAAGCATAAGCCTGAGATTCAGCTTAAGATATGGCTTTAAGGAAATAATCTCAAGATTGTCATCCCCTCTCTTAACCTTAGTTTTTGAGAAGGGAAAGATATGGATCTCAAGGGCGTCTAATCCATGCCACACAGTAAGTGTTTGCCTATCCTTACCAGATAGTGACAACCACAAACAGCTGTGAACTTAAGTATCTGCTAATACAGTCAGCAGATCATAGCTACTTCTCAGTGTCCAAGCTTTGAAAAAAACAAACACGCACTAAAACCAAACAGCCAAACCAAACCAACCAACCAATCCTCACTTTACAAGCAGCAAGCAAACAGGTCAGGATTTATAAGGCCAGACAATGATTACCCACTGCAATCCTGCTACTGACAAAGCTGGCAGTAGCAGAAAAGTTCCCTTAAGTGTGGTATGAAGACTGTCTCCAGAGCCTTAATATGAGAGCAGCTAATCAGAATGACATATTCCTTTTACAGGTTTTTCCAGGTACATCTGAAGGCCTTTTGATCTGACCTGACAGAGGCTGTCTCTGAAGTGTTTCCCTGGCCCTGTGTTCAGCTCCAAAGGTTTGCTCTGCCTTTGCCTTCATGAAGAAACAAGACCTGATGCACAACTCCTCGTTCATCTGGACAAAACACAGCCACGTGGGCAAGATGGGAACTGTGGCACCCTTTGGCCACAACCTGATCATCCAGGATACCCTGCAATACCTCAATGGATTGATCAGACAATGCTTGCATATCACACAATCCCTAAAACACTTTGCATATAGAAAAGCACTGAATTAGGAACTATTCCTGGTGGGTTTTGCTAGTTTCCCCTATCAACAACTACCTGGGAAATTGGACAGCTTTCAAAGCCCTGCAAAAATATTTATTAGTATTTTCTACTTGACTGTAGAGTGTTGAGGACAAGTAAAGCTTTATATTAGATCTTCATTGCACCTGCCTAGCAAAATGCAAGTAAACCATACAAGTGCTTTTCAATAGTAAAAATCCCCCCCAACAGAAAGAACAGTTTTACTAAAAAGAGTACAAACTGGGAACAGAAAGACAAACTATAGATTTGTCTGGTAATAACTAGCATTTATTCATCCTTCAGCAAGATCTTTATCACCTACTTGTTTTTTAATTAAACAGGCCAATGAGAAAGGTAAGAAGCAACGGAAGTTTCTTGTCTGTTTGTTTTCTGAGCAGCGTTCCCATTTCTAACATACACTTATATGCCTGTATCTCTTGCGAGAATCGCAGTATATTACTATATAATTTCTCATGCTTTAAGTAACCACTGAAGATTGCCTTAGTTGTGGAAGGAAGGGAGGAGTATAACTGCATAAACACATGAGGCTCATTTGCTTTAAAAAAACCCTGCTTTGTTTCCTCCTTAGTCTATTTTATCATAACAACATTTGCTTTTGGTAGAGCAGCGGAACCTTACAAATATTGTATCTTCCAAGAAGAGGGGAAGGTACACATTTAAACAAATTTTTTAAAAGACTGATTAAAGGCTGAGTGCACACATCTAAATTCAAAACAAATCATTACAGCTAAATGTTCTCCAAAATTCCCCAGTATGTACAGAGGAGGGAATGAAGAGACATAAATCAACCCCCCTCCCCACCCCCCCCCATGTAGGTGAGTCAATCCTATGGCATGTACTTCTCATCTATGCTGCTACTACTACACTGTATTTGCTAGGAATAATCATGTTTCGAACAAGAAATAGAAAGAAACCACATGAAAGATAATATAGGTACATTTACTATTTGTTTGACTCATTCAACTTTATATAGGCCCTTTAAACACTAAATTTTATGTAGACATTTCTTAAAAAGAAAAGATGGCCACTCATATACCTTCCTTGAAAACCAAATAAATAAAGAAAAATAACATCATTCACAATGACAAATAAGATTACCTTCAGCTTTTATTCATTTGTGTCCTATTAGTTGGTATGTGTCAACATGACATATTATGGGGGTTTTTAATTACTAAAGGTTTTCTAGTACCTCAACAGCAGAAAGTAATTACACAAAGCAAGCATGGAACAGACTGCTGCAAGAACTTTTCCACAACTCTACAGCATTTCCTGACAAATTTTCATCAATACTCACCTATACAGAACCTCATAATTTGATTACAGGTTTTTAGTGTGCATCATCATCTCTTGAGCAACAAGATCATAGTAATAGGAGCAAACTAATGCTGCTGCAATGGCAGGTCTACTGTATTAAATAATGTTTTCCAAACCTTGGATCAATCTATGGGATAGTTAATGACATCTTCAGGATACCTCAGTAATAGAAAGCACTTTTCACGTTACCCAAGGAGCTAGTTCTAGCATAACTGCTTTGCAAAACCAGCCAGATCAACAATACCTGTTATAAACAGGATGAGTGCAGAGTGCATGCTTTGCTCCAAAATGCAACAGCAGAAAGGTCCACATATTTAGACAGGGAGACATTAATAATGGATCTGTTTTCTTTGTATTATGCTTCCTAACACTGTCAGTGGATACATGAGAATACTAGATGTTGACCTACATATTTGGTGCAAAATTATGTGCCTATTCATAAGCAGAATCCAGCTTTTTTTTTTTTTTTTTTTAGCCAACTAAATGTTCACTGCTAGTATTAACTGAACTATACCACTGTTAAAAGGAGACTTGAAACTAACAGTTCTAAGTGGCGTCAGTTCTTGAAACAGTTTCACTGGTATCTGAATATTTTGAAAATCAATGCTAGGGAGGGCAAACAAGTGGAAGTTGCTCTTTAAAAGAGATCTTATTTCCAATTCAGGAGATTCATACATCTCTAAGACTTTCCATATGCAATGGACTTGAAGCAGTAACAAGCCATATATTCAGAAAGTGGTTTATATTTAATGAATGCAGCAATGTGCGAATGTAAGAATGATCATACCTGGACAGATCAGGACAGGTCTATCTAGCCCTGTACCCTGTTCTTGTTAGCACCCAGTGGCAAATGCCTCAGGAAGAACATCAAAACAAGACATACAGTCATACTTCAGACTACCTTGCAGACATTCAGCAATTTGGTAGACCCTGTTGCCCCTGTTGGATTTTTCTTCTGAGAATTATCTAGTTCTCTTTTAAGCCCATTTCAACTTTTTCACATTTACCATATTCTCTGGAAAAAAAAAAAATTCCCACATTCAGAGTATTGTATAAAAACAAACCTCTTTAGTAAATGGCACCTTCAAAATAAACAATTCCATCTGTTGTGTACTTGGAAAAGACAGATTTTTTTTTTTTCCCCATTTTTCCCTGCCACAAGTGATTTTACAGATCTGTCATTCAACTCCCTAATCATCTGTTTTCCAGTCTGAAGAGTTCCAGTCAGGCTTACGGACAATTTCTGCCAATTTACTGATAATCTCATATCTTCCTCCATGGTTGAAATATAAGATAATGAGTTAGAAGACTGTCAACTAGTCCTTATGTCCAATAATATACAGAAAATTGGGGGAACTCGCTATTAAAAAAAGAAAATCTCCTTACCACTGGGTGGCTTGGGTCGTGGAGGGACATTTTTCTTCGGTGGTAACGCTGGTGTGTCTGATTTGCTTTTGAAAGGGTCATCTGAGAATCCCATCCCTCCAAAAGAGGAGGCGAAGGGGTCTGAAGCTACTGACTACATGAGAAAAAAGAAATGAAAAAGGATGTAAGCACATTGTAGAGTATCTGTTGTTTCATGAAAGCTACAAGTTAACTCAAGTAAAAGCATTAACTTCAAAAAATGAGGACAGCTTTACAGAATTATGTCAGTGGTGTAAGAGGCTAACACCCACTAACAGAGGTGCCAGGTATTTCACTAACATTCAAAAGTACTCATGCTCTTAATCACTTAAATACTTCTAGAACTTTTACTCCTAGCAAAAAGCTGTTGAGAAAAACAGAAGGAAGTAAAACTCTACTTTTTACTATTTGGCAATGAACGGTTGTACGACAGTCTGGCCTTCACTCTAATAAACACAGCCATGATAGAAGCTGGAAAAATGTGGTAGATTTCAGAATAGATAGCTTTTTTCCAAGCTCTTCTTAAATTACACACAGCTATTTGTCTTTTTTTGTAAAAGCTCAGGGAAAATTCCAAGAACATGTTTTTTAATGTTTCCTATATTCAGCTGGCTCTTGTGAAGGACTCTCCTATTGGTTAAAAAAGGGACAAAAAGTTATGCCATGCAGGGAAATTTATCATTCTGAAATGAAGAAAGAGGAATTTTGTAGGCAAAGCTAAAGCTCACAGACAGACCTTGGCTAAAACTTCTCACTCAAGCCAAACGCATCACTATTTGTAAAGACTGTTGCCACCTAGTGGAGAGCTAAAACCCCCACAAAGCACAGTAAAAGTTAGGGAAAAAAAACCCCAAGAAAATTAGTCAAAGTGATGTGATAATCTATTTTCCAGTTAACATGTACTCTACAATGTTCAGGCGTTATTGTGGAACTAAGTGTAAAAAGTTGGGCAGCTGATGTCAACTGTAAATTCCAAAGTCCATCCCAGAAAGCTAACAGCAGACTGTGACTGATCCAGATGAGGAGGTAAGGCCCTAGTTCTATTTGAAATACCCTATATACTCAGTTTCTACCAAGAAACTAAGGAAACAGCAATTCTGTTAAGAGCTATGAAATGTCAGCACACCATGTTTTCCACCTTCCCCTGGCTCCCTGTACTCATGGAGAAGTTTAACAACAAGTCAGAATACTATGAGAGGTGAAATATCCAAGAAACAGACTTCAGGACTTAGAGGAAGGTTGGACACTGAAATATATTAGCATCTGGAACAACTACCTTTTCTTACAAGTAGAAACCAGAACTTATTTCTTTTGCTCTTCTGGTACTTGAAAATGTTTGTGAAAAGTTGATTTATCCCTGCTGAATCTACCAGCCTTGGTAGGACTTTGCCTTATCCGAGATGGACAAAAAACACTTGCGGAGTAACTGGTGAGGTTGATTAAAATAAATTAAAAAGTGGATTGTCAACTGAAAGTTACAATCGTATCACACCCTTAAAAAAAGTACCTGTACATACATTTTTAAAAGGACAGTTGCTTTCCTTGTAACCTTTACCTTTGACATCTGACTGAAGTCTGCAAATCCCTCACCACTACTGAAAGCACCACTTCCAAATGGATCCAGTGTTCCAAATGGATCTGAAACAGATACAGGAAAAAAAAAAAGTTATTTTAAATAATACTTAAGAATTATGAAGAATGCTTGGTACCAATGAAGTATAAAACTAGGCAGGGGATTAAAAACCACTTGCATTTTGACCTAGCATGAGCCGTTAAAATGAGAATTCCATAAAACAATAGGTTTTCTACCAGTTGTTTGGAGGAAAAAAAAAAAAAAAAAAAGAAAAAGAAAGAAATTAGGTATACAGTGTACGTGAAGACTTAACCTTCATAATCCATAATAGGACCACAATGATATTTGCCAACAGTTCACAAGACAACTTTCTTTATTCTCAACTTTTACATTTGATTCTTCTTTCATAAGGAGATACCTCCTTATTCATCTTCATGGAAAAATTTATTCTTCTTACCTTGACCTTTTGAAGAGATACTGGAAGACGTAAAAGGATCACTGCTTTCAAAAGGGTCAGGCTAAATAAGAACAGATATACATAATTATTGGTCTGCTGTACTGTGCACCTGTCTTTTTACGCATATCAAAATCTACTGCTTTAAGACAAATTATTTCCAATTTCAGACCACTCTGTTCAGTGCACATATAGTAGGATAAAACTGACTGATTATATGAAATTTGCATTATTAGTGCCTTTGGCTATCGATACCCTTAAACAAAACCCCAAGTACCTACAGAGAAACACATTCTAGTGAAAAGTGTAATCACACTGAAATACAAGCATTATCAGTTACCAGGGCAAAATAAGAAATTACACCTAGAAGTGTTCGGTCTTTAAGCAAGAGAGACTGAATATCCTGGTCAGGCATTTACATTATTATTAATTCAGAGAGTCTGTATATCACTTCTTTTTAAATAGAAGGTGTTTGTAGTTGCTCTTCAGTTTGAAAAGTCTGCTGTTATCCAAGCACAAACCTATTGCAAGACAAACTAACCTCCCACTGACAGATATTAGAATACTGTTCTAACACTTGGGTGGCAATAGTCAATGAAAGCCATAAGGGTGATGGAAAGGATTAATTAAAAAACAAAACAAAACAAAAAATCCATACCCCCCCCCAAAACAACCACACACATACACGTAAGGACAGCTTAAGAACTGTGACTACACATTTGACAAACGTGTTCTGTGCAGTCCTTCCACTGTGCTGGCAGCTCAGTAATCCTTTAGCCAGATCAGTTACTTGATCGGATTCACTACGTGACTGGGCAAATAGAAACACCAATGGAATGGAGGTAACGGTGTGACTGAGTGGGTGCTGGTGGCTTGAAATGGCAACAGCAAAAAAAACCCCATCCACCTAACTGCATCTTCATGGTGAATATACATCATCATCACGGAACTGGAAAGAACAAACTGCTGATTGCCTTAACAACTCATACTTAAATTTTAACAATAAAATTAATGATATTTCATCAGTTAGGAGAAAAGTATTTAGTGGTATTTCATTCTTTTTACCTTTCAGACAAGAAGTTTGTCAATAGTAAAGAAATCTATTATGTGTAGATTTAAAAATTACTGACCTTTGAGGGTAAAGTTGGGGGTTTTGTGAATGGATCTGAGGTAAATGGGTCACTCTTCACCTGTTTCTTGAAGAAATCCTCAGGGGCAGAACTACGAAATGGGTCACTTTCCTTAAATGGATCACCTCCAAATGGATCTAGAAGGAGGATTAAAAGGTAAATAGAAGGTAGCACCTAGTCTGTCCATTATGAACCATTCTATATTTGACCTCATACTCACTGATGTAATTTTTCTTATAAAAACACACAATGATTTGGTAAATCTGATAAAATTCCAGATACCTCTCTAAACAGGATATTTACTAAGTTTGAACAAGTACATGTTCATATTAAGGTTATGGACTTAATAAAGAGTTACATGCATATTATTAACATATTGATCCTGAATGCACACCCTGTCAGGTTTCCCTGACAGGTCTCCCTGTTCCCACATGCAAATCAAAAATCTGAAGCCAGGGAAACGTTAGAAATCTTTGTGTTTGGCTACAAATTGTTTGTATCACGTCTGTCCTGTCATCAAAAGGGCTATTACCTGCTGGAGCAGGTGGTTGTTCTGCAAAAGGATCATGCTGGAATGGGTCACCTATGCAGAATAGAAAAATCATTCGTTTTATCCACTATTTAGCAAGATGATAAAAGTTTGTGAAAATATAATTTACTCAACAATTGGTCTTCAAGGTCTCATGTAAGCCACTGGTCACTTACTGCCTTTGAAAGGGTCTGCTCCTTTAAATGGATCAGATTTGAAAGGATCTTCTGACTGGAATGGGTCTGCATGCAATTCTTGTGTATTATTGGTAAACATCAAGGCTTTATTCTTAAATGGATCATCCTAAAAATTAAGAGAAGAAACATTACAGCAATATACCATGATTAAAATGCTCAGTTACCCATTTAGCAGAAATTCTGTTCCTGTTTAATGATCTTAAAAATTACTTCCTAAGAACTTTCGGAATAAGTTGCTTCTAAGCAAAAGTAATTACACAGTAAAAAGAATACATAGCCCAAGGCTACGCAGAACATCAAAAGATAAAAATACATATAACAATAAAAGGTTAAACTGTTTCTCATATTAATATATTCAATTCTCAAATACTTAAACAACAAAACCAAACCAAACCCCCAGCCATCATGCTATCAAAAAAATTCTTCTCTCCCAGCTATTTTACAGTTCAGCTTCAGGTAAGACAGTTATTTAAAAGGAAAGGATACACAAATCATTTGTGGACTACAAATACAAGAAATTACTACTGAGTAGTCATACTCAAGATTGCTTCTTGTTAACCCATTCTTGAGCTCAAAGCTCCAAGTACTGATTTCACATGACAAAGCACTACATGGCAGGAAGAGCGTCACCCCAACATTTTGACAATACAGAGGTTTGTCATCAGAGGCCAACCTATATAGCTTTGTCAAGTTGCAAAAAAATCCCGCATGAACAAGGAGCAAACTAAAGTTACAAAACCTCTTCATTGCATTCGTTTGCATATGATACCCCTGTCTTTTTGTCCGTTTTGGGTCTCTGATGAAACCAGTCCTTGCCACAGTAGCCATACGTGTATACAGCACCTGTACAACAGGGCTCCACTGACAATCAAAGCCATTCAACTCTAACGTAAGAAATACCTAATAACAACTACCCACTTACACTGCCTCCAGCACTAGAAAGATACGGGATTTCTTTCATCCCTTTATATAAGATGCAAATGAAGAAGTCTTTAATTAAGACTTCTCAGAACAGCAGGGAGGGAGGTGGGGAGCAGAGGAAGGGGAAGGAAGAATTAAGAAACAGGAAAGGGACACAATGGTTTAAAAAATTTTCTATGAACATATACTGGAGTTTTGTTCCAGTAAGTGATTCTTAGGTTTTGCAAGTAAGAGAAACATCTGGAAGTTTCCACTGGAAAGTAAACATAATGTTTATGCAAGCCATGCAAGCATAGAAACTAAGCACCAAAGCGTTTTAAGACCATGTCTCTCAATGTATTGTTGTTTTTAACCTACACTGTTTTCTTTTCAGCATTTTGTTTTTACAGAGGAAGCGTAAAGCAGGGCATAAAGCTGGCATGCCTGCTGAATATTTATTAATACACTGTACATGACATACATTTAACTTCATATTAAAACCATAGTAAATACTGTGCTTACAAGGATTTTGGAAATTATGTTTCCCTAATGAGGAAGCACCAAGTACATGTGCAAGTAGAATCAAGGACGTATGCAACTTCCATATTTAAAGCAAAGAAATAGGCTTAAAAAATGAAAAATCTTGTGATTTAGAGTATTATTAAATATCCAAATCAACAATTGAAACCCAAAAGAAATCGACTGGAAAAATCCTTAAGAACCTGAAGGATCTTATGAATTGAGAAAAATACTGATTAAAAGAAAACACAATAAATGAGATAAATGATGCTGGAATTGCTTAAGCTGAAGAGAACTATCTATGTCTGTTGGGAAGGGAAAGTGTTTTTTACTGAAATATGTAATAAATATAGCTTACTGCAAAGGAGAAATTTGTATAGCTTCTTTTGGAAATAAGAAAGAAATACATGATTAAAGGGAAGTTTACAGCAAGAGAAGGTGTCACCTTGGTAAACTGGAGAACTTGCAAGAAAAAAACAGAACACCTGAATTGGAAATAAAGTCCTACCTAGTTCCTGAGACTAAAGATGTGACGGGTTGCAAATCAAGGGTTAACATGACCTTTTCTTTTTGTTTCCATAATTACATTCTTACGTATCCACACTGTTACAGTTAGACAGGCACAAAATCCTAGCACAAGATCTAACCCAACGCTTAAAAATCAGGTTTTCCACCAGCATTAAAATCTTTGCCCTGCCTTGCACTGGAGATTGCTACCTTGCAGGGATCACGGTATTTCCTAAAATACCAAAAGCCAACTAAGCAAACATCTTAACTATTTCAGATTAGGTGCAAGTTACAAACCTAATTATTGTAAAATACACTAAACCACGGTAATTTTTTTTTTTTACCATAGCTCCATAATTGCTTCTTTCCGTCTGCCCAAGGCCTTCACTTATGTCTGCTAAATTCGTCAGACTACCGCCGTGAATCCCATTGAGAGCTTCATTATATTCTTCTATACTCTTATTGACTTCTTGATGACTATCTTGAAGTTGAGAAAGTTTACTTCTTGCCTAAGCAGCGAAAAATACTTTATTATGTTATGCATTCAATAACACTGTCATTCTTGCATTCTTATTAAACACGGTTGCCAGACAGCTGCATTTTCCCCCCTCCAGAGCCGAACTTTTCCTGACTCAAACTAGGAATTAACCTACTAAGCACCAATCAAAAAGGCTTATTTCATGAACCAGTATTTTTTTTCTCTTCTGAAAAATAATCTTTCTAGGTGATGTTCAACTCTTAGCCTTTCAAGAAGCAAAAGAGAAGTTGTATAAACTACAGTGAATACCTGGTTTATTTCCTCCTGTGTTGATTTTAAAGATTTGATTATTGTTTCAAGCTGCACTTTTCCAGCCTGGATACTCTGCTCTAGCTGAGTCTCTTCTTGCTGGAGGCGATTCAGCTCTGCTTTTGCTCTATTAAGGTCATCTTCCTGTAATTTTAAATCTGATTCCTGAGATTGAATCTGCATTTTTAGTGATGAAATCTGAAACAAAACATTACAAAAATCAGAGTGAAATCTGAAATAAATGTACCTTAATAAATAATGAATTTATAATAAATAATAGGAAGTTGTAAAGCAATCTATCAACCGCTAAGGAAGATAACAAGAACTTAATATGAAGAACTACATACTTCTTATTATGTTACACAAAATCCTTGATAAAAAAAGCTCATAGGACTTTCAATAAAACCAAGAAATTTTAATATTTTAAATTACAGAAATACCACATTAACTATAAAGGCAATTAAAAGGTGTTTCTTAGATGGTTACCTTGTAGTTTTCAGAATTTGGCTCTTTTTCCATTCAAACATTTACCAAGTATTATAAAGTTGACTTTTAACTCTGATAAGAGTTAAAATTACACAGTTGCATATGATTCTCCTTATATGCTTTCTTACTTATACACTAAGTTTCTACATTAAGATAACATATGCTAGCTACATTGGCAATTGTATCGCCTGAAAACCCACTTTTAACTCAGAATACTGATGAGGTTCACAGTGATCAAATGTTGATGACTGTGTCATGGGTCAGTAATAATGCTTCTCAACTACACTACTAGGTTGAATAAATGTTTCATATATTCACAGAACAATAACAATTTAGGTAGAAAGGGACCCTTGGAGATCATCTGATTCAATCCCCCATTTCCAACCATTATGAAAGATATTTAGGTTCGCAAAATCCTTTATTGGACCTCTGTATTTGTGTGCAAATTGCTATTTATGGTAAAGATGAAAAACAAAGCAAGCTGATTCATTAAATATATAGAATTTCCTTCAACAAAAGACACAGTACTCTTGAGCATGTCCAGAATTAACGTACACTCACCACCTGTGCTTCTTCCTGGCATTTCTGCCTTACATCGTTCAGCATATCTTTCAGTTTGGCTTTCTGCTGGTCCATTTCATCCAGGCGGTCTTGGGCATCTTGCTTCTGAGCCTCTAGCTCTTGCAAGTTACTTGTCTCCCTATCTAAATCATTTTGTAGTTCCTGAGGAAAATTCCACAGTTTGTAACTTACATTTAGCTGTTATCTTACAGGAATGGTCAACCACAGACAAACAGGCTAGCAAAATCCAAAACATTTTCTATGCCATATAGGCTATTGCTTGCATGTGTATGTTTTGTTTCTGCAGGAACTTGTATGAGACCGCAGGAAACAAATCAGTGCCCACAAGATGGAAAGAGACTGTGACACAGAGGACATATCATTGAGCTATCCTAATTTCAAACCCAATACTCTTTGAACAACGTTTTCCTAAATTACAGTTTTAGTCAAGTACCAACAAAAAAAGACATTTCAAACTGTTCATGTATCATCATCTACTTATATTAACCAGCATCAGAAGAAAACACTTCTGATGGAGAACAGGAAAATAAAGATCTTTCTGTAAGCTAGAGGAAAATCCCATGAAAGGAGGAAGGGTTTGCCCAGAAGCAACATAAGGGAAGACAGAAGAATGTTTAATTCCCCATATATTATTTTAGATTAAAATGAAAACTAATATGATAGAGTTTTTACCTGAACTTCATTGGTTTTCTGTCTGATTGATTCTTCCTTTTCCCTAATGTCTTGCTCTAGCGAGTATTTTTCTCTGTAAGATAAACAAGCACGCAGATTCATGAATAGTTAAATAATACAACATACACATGCGTGCATGCAAAAATCAATTAAACAGTATTCTGGAAACACCACACAGCCAAAAATGCCAGCCCATATCCTGATATATTCTTTAAAGGAGTAAAAGTGTATACCTATCAATTGTTCTTTGAAAAATACTACCCGTTCCATAATCAATCTTCTGAAGTCACCTGGTAGAACCCAGGCTGGCTTTATGTAATTGGCTAAGTGTAGGGTATCCGTGGGAGATTGCCACCAACTTCAGTGACAAGTAATGATAAACTGACTAATAGAAAACAAAAGTAACAGACACATCAGTACTATGTTCTTAATTGGTTCTCCTACTCCAAGATTTTCTTAATAGTCCACAACTATTACCTCTGCAGCTGTGCAATTTCTTGACTAATATCATCCAGTTCCTTCACGCCTGTAAATTCTCCTGATCCAACAGAACTTGAACTATCCTGTTAAGAATGAAATAGTCTATTAAAATGCCAAGTCATAACAGAAGACCTTCCTTTACAAAGGCTGAGGACAAAGGTGGGACACAGTCCTCATTATATGCATTTGCAAAATTCTATGGAAGACATCAAATTATTATGCAAAAACCACTGAGCGTGCCACACAATTCTACCTGTGAGACAGGAGAATTTTCTCTATGCCCATTTACCAGATGGGATAGTCGAAATAAACAGCAGTTAAAGGACATGCACAATGTCAAAAAATAAACTGCAGGCAATGGTAGAATTCAAATTAAAAAACTAAAAACCCAGCTCTGCTACAGTCAGTAACAAAGCTTCCAGGGAACTTAACGAAATCATATTGTAATTTCAGTCTTCTTGAGCCCTGCCACAAATTAATGCCAAGTTCTGCAATTATACCCGATTTCCTGCAGGTCATTTCTACAGCCATTCAGGCACAGATCAAGGAAGATGCAGAGGGTATCCCTTTTCTTTTAGACAAGAAAATTGTCATTAGAAATTATGAAGAAAGGATCTCAGCGTTTGATAAAAAATTTGTTATTATTATAAAAAGGATTGCTAGTTCTTTGAAAAAAATCACTGCAACTGAGCAAAAACTGCAACACTTAAACTCACTGCTAGTATGACAAAATCAGGAGACCTACCATTTTTAAAAAGCATTTTAAAAAAAGACAGTACAGTTTGCTTGCTTCGTTCACCTTGAGATTACCATGATAACCACAGAAAGTTTAGCTTTATTCAGTATTAAAAAAAAGCTCAAGAACCCAACCAACAAATCACAAACAGATAGCATAGTAAAATGTGACATTTTCTGCAGAAATAATATTGAATATACAGTTTCAGTAAGTTAATTAAGTCCTCACTTTTGGGTGAGCATTCCTTTCGTTAATATGCCATTAAGTAATCATAAATAACAACAATCCAGACTAATTCTTCAAGCTAGCAAATCAAAAGCTTCTAATATCCCTTTTATATTTTCAGACCAGATACAGATTTGCCGAGAGACCTGTACTGTATGCTGTACAGGATCATAATAAGGTGTTACCCAGTATGATTATGAAATGAGTTAAAATGAGCTGCTGCATTGGTTAGGCTAACACAGTTCATTGTTCCACATGAACAGAAAACTAATCTGCTATGTTCACAGTAGCATACAGTTTATTTCATGTTACATTCAGCTAAAACCACAGCAGATGAGAAAAAAAGATATAATGAATTGAAAATAATGGGAAGCTTAAAGCTCTCACACTAAGGTGTATTTATTGCCCACAGCTTCAGAGAACTAGTACACAAGTAACTTTAACATGCCAACACCAAGTTGCCTGTCAAAGAACTTCTTGACAGATCAATGCGTCTCAAATTGTTGAAGGAAGCAATATTACCAGGTCAACAGGCAATACTGGTAACTTCACACTACTGTGACATTATCATCATGCCAAGAGCAAGTGTCACAGAACAAGAGCAAAGAGACAGGAGAAGGGGTAGAAATAAAAACTTCTTTAAAGTTACAAGTAGCATACATAAACAAATTTGCATTCTTTTGGACGTTACAATTACTCACACGGCGCATTTCTGTTAGTGCTGAGATCTCAGTTCCTACAGGGGTCAAGTAACCTGACAGAGTCTATAGAAAAAGGATATAGGAAAAACCTTAAAAGGACCAGAGCAACAGCAACAAAATATATTTAGAGGCTCAAAAGCTTTCTGGTTAGGGAAAGTAAAAAAAAGTAAAGGAAAATACTATGTAATTTATAGAAAGGGTTCAGTAAAAGATTAGATGCTCCAGTAAAATGGAATTAGCAGTGATGGATATACGACTATGGACGGTCATGCTACAAGGGCTGAATCAACCACCAATTCCTAGAAACTAGGGAGTCATCACTCTTCATTTAGCCATTAAAAAATTTTACATTTTCATGGGAGGAATTTGGTACTGATCACAGTCAGGGACAGGCTACTAGACCAGCTTTTAACAGTTGCTTTTAACAGTTTCCTGAAGTTAAAAAACCCCTTCTCTATAACAAAGGAGTATTTTTCATGCTACACTTTTCTCAACACTATTATTCCCTTATTTATGGAATAGTCTACTGCATTTTTCTTTATTTAGTGTCTCGTGTTGTTAAAAATTGATGTATATTTTCAAATCTTAAAGAATTTTGTAAAAGGGAGGTAAGAAAAAAAATATTGGCAACTCTTTACCGTAATATAAAAAAAAAAAAAAATTTACAAAATTAATACTCAAACCCCATTACTTTCAAAGCACATAAGCTCAGTATTATCTACAAATAATCAATGACTTACCTGTATGGGAGTGTTCCTCTCTGTGGGAGGGATCATATCTGGGGACAACACTTGTGGAGGATCAATCCCTTTACTGACCTTCTGTTGAATGAGATACATTGCTAGTGCAAACTGATCTTTGCTTAGCTTTCCCATCTGTCTTGTGTCTGCCAAAGCCCTGGTAAAAAATAGATCACACTAATAAACAAGAAAAGCTTATTTCTCCTCTGCCAAGAAGCCTGAAACACACATATACATGTAATTTCCTTTTGATTCAGTCTCATCAGAGCTTGCTTATTCTAGTGAAAGAGTTCCATAAACAGAGCAGTATTTTATTAGACATATTTAACTGGACAGAACAGCATTACTCTGAGAAAATATTTAGAGCACGAGAACTTCAAAGAACAATCACAATTCACCAACTGACCTATACCCCTCTCCCAGAAAAGCAAAGTGAGTGTTTATTTCTCCCTTGTTTTTCCATATAGCCCACATAGTGTAGTACAGCAACAGGACAGGTAAAAGAGGTTGGGTTTGGTGGGGTTTTGGGTTTTTTGTTTTGTTTTGTTTTAATGTTAGGATCACAATTCTGGCTGGGTAATCTGACTGCCCAGATCAGCAAGTTACAAAAATACAGGTACTAGAGAATTCTTACCATATATGTGCTAGGAGATTCTGAGACAGACCTGAATGCATAAAAATGTCCTTTACTTCTTGGCCACTCACAAAACCATCCATGTCTGTGTCTGTTTTTAAGAAAATTTCATCGTATCGCACTTTTTCAGACATTGGTACTACCCAATTCACAGATGGCTGTAAAACAAGGTTTTATATTTCAAAAGAAGATAAACAGTCTTTATCAACACACTGAGTATATATGACATTATTCAGTCAGATGTGCTGAACATCTTGCACAATCAAGTCTGGTAAATAGGTACTTCCCCTTTTCCTATTAATGTTTTAGCTTAATACTTTTTATCTGAATTATCAATACTGATAAACTGCTATTCATCAGTTGAAAAGCATTCATTCTTTCAAAATACGGACCCAACTAGGTATACCAAGTCCTGCTAATAACACGGGAGCTTTAGAAGGTAGATTAATGATTTCTTTCGTATTAAAGCGGATACATGAATAAAACCTTTCTATGGTTTCACTTTCTAGGAAAAGTGAAAATTCCCTGTAAGATTTGCTACCTCATGGTCACTCTGACTAAAATTCACCTGCTCTTCTTCCGTGTCTAACCATTCTCATTTCATTCCCTCCAGCCAAATCACCCAACAACAAACACATTTTCAGAAAAGTGCTCACATGAGGCAGAAATCAAAAAGCAGTTTTATTTTTTTCCTGCAGTTTACTGATACCAGAAAGAAAGAAAAAAAAAAGAAAAAAAAGATTTGTACCTGTGCTTGTTTGATGCTGTGCTTGGGAGACAAACTCCCTGTGCTGTTCAGACTGTTGACACTACCATGAGATGGGGTAGAACGGAGGCTATCTTTTGGTGGAGGACTTGCAGGGAGAACAGGAACTGCACCAGGAAAGACAGGTGTCTTCTTTCTTTTAGAAGGTGGTATGAGAGAAGGGGGTAATAGTGAAGGAACTGGCTCTTTCTCAAGAGCTCTATAAACCAAATGCATTGCCTGCAAAGGCAAAAAGGTCAGATAACATTAACAATTAGAAGAAAAAGTAACAAGATTTTCCAGTGTCAGTCATTTACATATCAGTAAAACAAAGACAGTAAGATTAGAGACATAAACCAGAGCAGATAATTTTGAATGCAATTCCAAAAAGTTTAATCTTGATGACACAGGCAAGAGTCAGTAGATGGATTTGAGAAAGATCATTTAATAGCTCCATGTGAACAATTTAGATTAGAAGAGTCAACTGTAGCAGACAAAGCTGCAAAGCTCTTGAGAAAAAAACTGAGCGATTTGCTTTAGCAGACACACTGTGAATTGAGAATTTAAAGCAACCTACCACAGCAAATTCATCCTTGTCCAGGTGACCATCTTTATCAATATCACTGAGATCCCAGACCTACAGCAATTATGACAAAAACAATGATTTAGAGAACAAGTTATATCTTGTGCTGTTGATGTTAATTGTCATCATATTAAGCATGCTCTCTAAAGACTCCTAATAGATTTTTGTGAAGATCATATTAGTTATATTAGACCTAGTGCCCTGGTTTTGGCTGGGATAGAGTTAATTTTCTTCCTAGTAGCTGGTATAGTGTTGTGTTTTGGATTTATTATGAGAATAATGCTGCTAACACACTGATGCTTTCAGTTGCTACTAAGGAACGTTTATACTAAGTCAAGGATTTTTCAAGCTTCTCACGTCCAGCCAGCAAGAAGGCTGGAGAGGCACAAGAAGTTTGGAGGGGACATGGCTGGGACAGCTGACCTAAACTGGCCAAAGGGATATTCCGCACCATGCGACGTCATGCCCAGTATATAAACTGGGGGGAGTTGGCTGGGAGGGGTGATTGCTGCTCAGGAACTGACTGGGCGTCGGTCGGTGAGTGGTGAGCAATTGCATTGTGCATCACTTGTTTTCTATATTCTAATTCTTTTATTATTATTATTGTCATTTTATTATTATTATAATTATTATTATTTTCTTCCTCTTCTGTCCTATTCAACTGTCTTTATCTCAACCCATAAGTTGGGGGGAGTGAGCGAGCAGCTGCATGGTGCTTAGCTGCTGGCTGGGATTAAACCATGACACCTAGCTAAACATTCTCTGATGAAACAGACTGGATTAGAGTTTTCTGGCAATGTGAATCTACACTGGTTCTAACAAATTCTGGATGCAACACAGGCAGGTTTTTCATCTTTCTATGTTGCAATTAAGGAGTCATCAAGCTGACTAAAAACATCCAGAGGTGGCTTTCAGAATTGTCCAGAGGGTGTGGGCTAGCAGATTGCCCAAATTTGTCTCTTATAAGAAAGTTAAAATATTTTAGAAAAGTCAATACATTTCCAATTTTCATTCCATTCTTAAATTTCTAGTTTCCATTTTAGTCAAAAAAATATGTCCACCCTCCAGAATTTTCTACAGGACAGAATTTAAGCATCTGTCAACTTCAGTTCATTATTAGGTCAAGTACAGTCAACAAAATTTGCAGATTTACAAGGACACACAACTTTGTGTACTCTAATACTCAGCCATTATCTAGCACTGTTTAATCATCAATATGACTTGGAGACAGTAGAGTGGACATAAAACTAAGACTGAGGCTCAGTCATCTGAACTCTACTCCCAGCTCTATTCCTGGACCTCTGTACAAATTTAAGCTAGTTGAGTACTCCTTTGCCCATTTCCTCAGTCCCCTTTCTCGTCCGCAAACTTTTCTGGAACAGGAAAAAGTTTCCTGAATTTCTATCGTGACAACAGCAAGATAAAATACAAAGCCTTTCAAGACTGAGTACTTCACAATATTCAAGTACAGAATTAAAACAAGTCGTACTTAGATTTTGTAGATAATACAAACAGGCAGTTCTTCCTGAAGAGATGGAAGTGTGTAACACAGATACAGCTCTTACACAGAATGTATTCATTCTCAGTCATATCAATATGCAAAACATTAAAGAATATGTATTTTAAACGGAAGCAGAAAAATACTTTGAGGTTTGCCTCCCTTGCAAATATGCAATGGAAGCACTAAACTCAGATCATCAAATCATAGAACAGTTTGGGTTGGAAAGACCTTAAAGATCACCTAGTTCCAACCCCTCCTGCTTTGGGCAGGGACACCTTCCACCAGACCACGTTGCTCAAACCACCATCCAACCTGGCCTTGAACACTTCCAGGCATGGGGCATCCACAGCTTCTCTGGGCAACCCGTTCCAAGCGTCCCACCACCCTTATCGTAAAGAATTTCATCTTGTATCTAATCTAAATCTACCCTCTTTCATTTTAAAACCGTTACCCCTCGTCCTATCACTAGAATCCCTACGTTCCCTGATAGAGTCCCTCCCCATCTTTCCTGTAGGCCCCCTTTAAGTACTGGAGGAATCAAAAGTATTTATAAATATACATGAAAAAAATACTTGACAATTTGACAGCTACAATAAACTAGGATGTTTTAAAGTGTTCTCTTGTACAAACAGTGGATAGATTTAATGATATGTCTAACTACTTGTATTTGGAAAAATGACAAAACAGTGGAATACAATGTTATAAAAGCTATTATGGTTTAAGAGAGCTTTCTTCTGTTTTTAAATAACCAAAATCAAAACTTCCAGCTCTTAAAATGAATACAGAGTTAATGAAGCCAATCTACTCCAGGGTCCAAATTACTACTATTACTCTCATTTCTAAGTGGAAGACTTCAGTGCACTCGATGTTAAAACTCAGCCAAAACCTGGTCCATGTTGATACATTACATTTAAATATTTAACACTGCAACTACAAGAAGGTAAATAGAGAATAGCTAAATCTAAACAGCATACTTACCCTTCCTAGGATATCAAGAGGTAGCTTTGAATTCATCAGTACTGGTTTTACTTTGTCTCCTGAAAGTAAACCATTTACTGGCAAAAGGCTTTCAAAAATACCATCAAACTTTGCTTTTTCTTCCACCTAGTTGGTAAGAAATAGCCTGAATAAGTAAAAAAGTGTGCCTGTGTGAGTGTTGAAAATGAGATCTTGCAAGAAATTAAGACTGGTCAGTAATGTATTCATTCTAAATTTCCAAGCTTTCTTGCAAGTGCTACCATGCTGTATTTAAATGTAAACCCCATGGAGCTAGATTTAGGAGCTCAATTTCAAAGCTAAGCTTATGATAGCTAAGAGATTTTAACATGCATGTGTTTCTGTAGTGTTCTAAAAGGACAGCACATTCCGATTAAAACACTGCTGATCAGATTTTAAGCAAACTTTGACAAACTCTGTAGAACTAAAAACTATTCTTCCCAAATAATTTGCTTCCCACTTTAAAGTACAACATGCAAGTACAAAAAAACAAAACAACAAAAAAATCAGCATTAGAAGTTATTTTCTTAAATTTCTACCTTTTCAAAAATGTTTGCAATTGAAAATTAACTAAATACAAATATCCTTATGTATGTATCAAAAGTTACTTTTTCCCAATTATATATATATATAGTGTGTATCACAGAATACCAATTAGAACATATGAACTCAAGCTTTAAATTGATACTTCAGGATGGATTTGGTGAAATGCTTTGCTGTTCTCAGTGGGGTTCCTTTACACAAACATGAAAGTGCCTACTACTAGGATCCTGGAAGAAATCCAGGCAGAAGATTAAAATTCATTGTGTCTTTAAAACATCACACCAGGGGTTGTCAAAGGCTTGTTTAATACTTATTTCAAATATAAAACTGCAGCTCAATATTCTCTATTGTGCACAAGTCTGTCATCAGAAAGGGAGGACTTCTGAAATGGGAAATATATCTGACAGAAAATTCTCTTACTGGGAAAATTACAGACAAGGAAAATATTTACTTTCAAAGAATGGATGGAATGTGTTGTCTTTTACACTTACCCTAACAGCCCAGTGAGTCTCTGTTGAAGGTGGTGTGATCAGCAAAGGACTGCTAGTGTCATGCTAAAAATTAAATAATTTTTTATTTTTTTATATATATATATAAAAATACACACACTTCTGCTTCTAATTCTTACTAATTGCTTTAAGAGATGGTTATAGACATGAAGCTCAACTACACTGAAAAAAAGAAAAAAGGCTGCACATGTACCCAAATAAAAAAAAAAAAAGTCATACCGATTTATACTATTACAGTACTTTGATAAGGACATTAGGTGCATTAGGCATCCAAACACAGAACTAAGACAAGCTAAAGGAGGTTCCACAGCAGCTTCTGCAGGCAAAGCTGCAGTCATGCCCTTTGCTACACACTCCTGTTGACCTAGTCCAAAAATAATCTTTTTCCCCCCCCTCCCCATAAATTTAGCAGTTAGCCACATCAGCTTCGTGAACAAGCTGACCTTAGTTAAACTTGCATCAGTTTTGCAGTCCAGGAAGGGGCTGGTACATATTACTCAGGAAGACAGGACTATGGCAGCCATTACTGCAGTTGTCTTAAGGAACAGTTTGACAGCAGCCTGAAGTCTCAAAACCATGACATTTATGAAACAGAAGATTATTCCAGTGTTCTGACTGAAGCCTTAGTTCATACATACATTTAGGTATATATTACTTACAAATTTAGGAGGCGGCACAGTCAAGTTCAGACTGCTCAGGTTAACATCATGGCCATTCTGTGCACATGCTACTAGGCGCAACGCAACATAGAAACCCTACAAACAATAGTGTTTTCTATTAAAAAGAAGCAACCAGTCTAAATCAGTCTTCAAGAACTCATTTATGATTTTTACTAACACTGTACATGTGCAATTCAGTAACGTATGGAAACAACAGTGCTATAGCCCCATTCAGTTAACTGCATAGTGGCAACTACCTCACTGCTTTTAAAGATGATTCAGGAAAAACTCTGCAATAACATGGAACAAAGAGCAGAAAACTTCAAAGCTATTTTTTAAGGACTCTCCCAAAATTAAGTAAATTTCACCAATTTTTCTTAAAAATTAATAATGTTTTAAAAAAATTTCTCCAGATCTACAAGTAACTTGGTATTTGATATTCCAAGCTACTTTTAGTAATGCTAGTTATATTTTTTCATGCAAAAAAGACTTCTAAAATAAATCTTAAAATCATAGTTTGTATTTGTGAAAGACTCAATGACTCTGTATCTCTATATCACACACACTGATTATTTACAAAACAAAAGAGAGACCCAAAATTAGATCCAAACTTCTCCAGCAGCCTCACCAAGTGATATACTTGGATATGAGCAGTGCTAGGATAAAACCTCATCTTGTAAACAAAAACTTTAAAAAACAAAAGCTAAGGATAACTACTATTGATATCAGAGTTTTCTTGAAACGAGGCTTATCTGTAGAAGGTAAACTAAGAGGTGTACAGGCACATTTCATTTACCTGTTTATCCAAGTATCCTTTACCCTCTGGGTCAGCCAAATCCCATATCTGTGGAGATACAAAAAAGCCATTGTGATTTTAAAATAAAACTTAACTCAGCTCAAGAGTTCATATTGTATGTCTTGAACTTCAAGTTATGACACACAATGTTATTTAATTCTCAAGTTTATAACAAAAATGTTACAGAAAAGACAATTTTTCCTTTCAGATTCCTATGAAACTTGGAACAATACCTTGGAGCTATTACCGATCTGTGGTTAACCTAACCTGGTTCTATGGATCTGATTTGCATTCCACCAAATTCCTTTTTGCAAACCCCTTCTCTCAATGTTAGCCGCACTTAAGCAAGCGTACAAACAATTACTGCATTGCCTAATTCCTTCAACTTACTTTTCCAAGGATAATATCAGAGAGACCAGATTTTTTAAGAAACAGCGCAGCTTCACTTGCCCCAACTCTCCCCGTATATGCTGGATCTACCTGAAAGATAAAAATTCACATTCAGTTGAAGCATGTCTGTCATGAAAGCAGAGGTAAGAAATGAAACCCCTCTTGTCTTAGGTCGAGTTATACAAGCACGCATTACCACTCAGCAGAGAGAATTCACAGAAGTTTAGCACTGCAATGGGGAAAGGGAAGAGAGGGACATCTTAGGGAAGAGGAAAATGCACTTTATTTTTAAATTCTTTTTTAACAACCTACCTGTTTGTAGTAAGTTTCATATAATGGATTCCCAGTAGAAAACTGAAAAACAAGAGAAATGTTAAGAACATAAAGAATGAACTGCAATCACAGCACACCTTCAGGGACTGACAGAAAAAAAAGCATATAGTACTTTGTGTAATACTTCTATCAAAAATATAAAACGGTATGTTAATTCGCTGTGTTCCAAACTGGATACTTGAAATCTAAGAGTGGATAACAGAGATCCCCCAAAACTTGCAGCCAACAGACTATTGTCACCTCTTAAAACTTCTTATTCACCAGCATTCATATTTAAACTCACACTTTTAATTAACAAGACTATATGGTAATATAGTTACCATTACCTTTATATGGTAATAAAGGTTTTGTAGAACAGCTTTGAACTATTTGCCAAGGTATTTCAGATCACAGTTTGAGAACTACTGATATCAAAGGCAGAGTTTTCAACATAACACTGATTTTACTACCTCCTGCATTGTATATATACTTATGGAATAATTTCAGCAGACAATTACATACACACACACAGACACAGGGCCCTGGTATCAAAATATGCCTGTGTTTATGCATTTTCAGGACTAAGATCTTAAATTGACACAGAGTAAAAAAAAAAAAAAAAAAAAGGAAGAAAAGGTTAATTAACAAAGATCACAATTCCCTGACAATGTTGTTTGAGGATTTTGACTTGGTGTTATCACTGCATTACACAAAAGCAGCAGACACAAAGGTAGGCCCTGCCTTTTCGGAATACTAAACAAGCAGATTCCTCCTCCCTCTTACTAACATTCCAAGCAAATGGGAACTGAAATGCCAAAAGAGGCAGAAGCCCCAACACCCATCTTCTCAGTTGCCTCGTACAATTGCCACACAGGTTCTAGCCACGAGCAGGTTATACCTCCACACCATTCTCCAGCCTCAATGCCAAGAGCAAAAATATTATGATCCAGTCTCAAGCAAGTCACCCCTTAGAGCAGTCAAAGGCCTTAAAAAACAAGCAACGAAACAACCCAATAAACACAGCTTAATGACTGAGACGCAGAGAAGTCGAAACACCCCAAAGCCTGCTTGGGGCAACTGCTCTCCACCTACAGGACACAAGTCAGAGATCTGACGAATGATTATTTTGCACTAACTCTGATCACTGCTATATCCCCTCCCAAATGCTACCTTTTTCCTTGTCATCTGCACAGATTTCCAGATGTTCTGCCTACACTGAGGGGAAGGGAGACAGAAACATGATGGGAAAAAACAGACAGATGAAGAGCATGAAATTTTGTTTTACACAAAGAGAATATTTCTGTAGAGTTTACAATAAACATGCCAAATCTTAATTTAAGGAGATATCCAAAACATCTAAACCTTATTAATCAAAAGCAAGTGAACACTGAGCTCTTCCAAGATCAATTGTTCTACTTGGTTAGAAAGATCATGCATTTTCAGAAGTGCTTCCTTAACTTCTTAAATGTACTGCATTTATATCCATCAACAAAACAAGCCACTGCATTCTCCACCCGTACACTCTAGAAGCTCTTGCTCTTCCAGAAGCTGGACAGTCGTTCAGAAGAAAGCTACAAGCATAACTCATAAATCTGACTCATCTTTTTGCTGGCTTGTAAATGATCAGCATAGATAAGCACTATATTCCTGTACAAAGTAGGAAACACATCATTCAGAGAAAAGGTGGAAGCAGGCAATAGTCTGTCCAACTCTGAATAAAATTTAGTATGTTTTAGCCAACTATCACCCAACTAGACGACTCTCATTTATCAGATGGCTCAGAGAAGCTAGCCAAAGACCAGCTACGAGCTCCTCTAATTTGGCAAGTATCCTAGAGCACGCAGAGACTGGATTCATACCAAGATACAGAGCAAACCGCTCCAGCAGCAGTATTGAATGATCTCATCCCATCACCAGACATTCTTGACATCCTCATTTGATATTGTCAGCCATGACATACAGCTGAGTTACCTGACAGAGGTGGCAAGAATCCAGGGTAATGTGCTTCAATGCTGTCAAGTTTCTTCTATGGCAATATATGCATCCAAGGGCTACTGGAAAGCACTTCACCACTCGATTCCCTACTTGTAGAATTTTACAAAGAGTAAGCCTCTCTGACCGATTTACCTAAATGACTGCATCTCTGTGATGAAACACACCAGACAAAATGGGATCAAGTGATAAAAATAGCATAGCTGCCTACCTACCCGTCACCACATATGACTACATCACTATCATTCAAGAGGATTCTGTAATTTGATGACATCTGCTGATGAAGAACCTACACAAGACAGTGTCAATACCAGCAATCAGAGAAAAGCATTTTGAAAAGTTTGCAGTTAAGTGGTCAAAGGATATAACCTGTTATACAGCGGTTCAGTTTGACTTACAGTTCAACAACGCTCTGGTTTCAGTGCCTACTCCATATTCCCCAAAACGTCATCTATGACCAGCACTTCACACCATCTCCCAAACAGACGCTTCAGAACCCTTGCGCCTTGTTGTTCGACCTCTAAGTTGATTTCCTGTACAAATTTGAAGTTCAAGTCTTGAACTTGCACTCTCACAGCAGATCTGGTACACTGCATTTGTGGTACGCAGTACGCGCACATGCAAAAGTCTCCACGTCCCTTAACGCAGGTCTGGGAAAAAGGCAGGCTTAAGCTGCTGCCACCAGAACAATTAAGAAAGCCAGTTCCTAGCAGCCCTCTTTCCGGAGGTCATCTCAGGGCCACAAAGACCTGTGGATAAGATGAATTATTTTCCTTGATGTTCTCCCGTTTCACAATTTTTTTTCAGCCACTCTTGTCACATCCTATAACGGATGAAAATAGGTACTGTGAAAGGGGAAAAAACCAATGTGTCCCACAAAGATGAGAGCCAAAAGAAGATCACTGCTACCCCAGAAAGATTACCTTTGCCCTTATACTTGCTGAGTATCCTGAGTTGTCTCAGAAAACTGAGCTACAAAATCATCTGTGCTGTCCCCAGATCTCTAACGTAACTCTCCATGACCTCCAGAGGCTGTAGGTTGAACATGCCTGGCACAGTGGAAAGACCACTGATAAGGTGATCAAATATTCAAGAAAATAAAATTATCAAAGGTAAATAAATCCAGTTTCAGTTGTTGTTTAACTCCAAGAACTGATTTTACATGCTTGCTCTTCAACTGTTTTTAGGCGTAGCTGGTTGAAACAAAGACAGCTAAAATGTTAAATAATTTGCATACTGTTAGACATGTAAATTCTCTTTCATAAAAGCGTCATAAAAAACATAACTTCATAGAACAATAGAACCATAATAAAATTCATTTATGAGAACAAATATGGTTAAACACTTTCACATGCTTGAATTAACTATATTGTTTATAACTCCTAATGTTATCAATATTCTTATTTTAAATCTTTCTAAGTGAACATGCTTCAACATTACAGCACCTGTAACTTCTCCCATTCCTTTTAATATAATTTCTGCCATTTATTATAACTAGCATATATCTCTGTAGTAATCACAAAATTGAGGTTATTAAAAGTTTATTAATTTCCAGAAAAAAAATAAAAATCTGTTTACTGCCCTGATTATGGGTAGATTACTCTTGACAGTTCAATATAGAAAAAAAAAAGTTTGAAAACTGGAATGCTTCCAGTGAATTAGTTGGAAAATAGTACATCAAAGTAACTGTTATGTTCACAGAATGTGGCCCTTTTTCCCTCAAGGTAATATATTAAGTTATATGAAAGAAAACACCATTGATGCCAGTCTCTCAAGTATCAATTAAATTTAAAAAACAAACTCTTTCAAGTCCAGAGTTTATTTTACATATATATTTTGCACCACATTACTGAACTTGAAAACTTTTGGTAACAGTTTGTATGTGCATGGATGTTTTCAGATGTTTCCAAACGTGTTCATTTAATTAAACAGGTGTTAATCAGGACTTCTACTGCTATTCAAAAGCTAAGAAGCAGTGCACTCTCTTAATGAGACACACAGCAAACTACCAATTACCAAAGTATGACATAACCCCACTGAAAGATAAATTTTCAGAGTATCACAAATAAAGGTCCATTATTAAAAAGAAATGGATATATTTAAATAATTTGAACTACCAATAGTTGTTGTTCTGAATTCCTGGCTGGCCTAGCCACAGTGTAAAGAATAGTAAGTTTTAAATTCAAGGCATTGGGGAGTGGTGGAGTGGCGTTGCTTTTCTTTTGTTTTAAAGGAAATAAGTAAACTGACTATCTTCACAGGAGTATGGAAAAGAATAAACAGCGGTCACATTGTTCAGGTTTAAATTATTTGGGTGAGAAATGAATCAAAAAAACCTTGTAACAACAACAAAAATGATCCACCCAAGGATCCCAAACATTAAAGCAGAGCTCGAAAAGGCACGCCACCCTCCCTGTGGGAGAGGAGCTCCAAGGTTCAGGGTCTTCCCTGCAGAATCCTCTCTCTCCTGCTGAGGGGTGAAATCCTCCTCCTCATTCCTACGGACTGAGTCCTTTTACCGGTGTACCCGCGCCTATGGCTACGCTACTCACGCACCTCCCAAATATTAAGCACAGTCATGACACCCCGACAGCCGAAGGCGGCATGAACCCCGTGTTACAAAGAAAAAAAAACAAAACAAGGTGACGTGACCCAAGTCAGAGAGTCCCGAGCAGACGACGAGCCCCCATCCCTCCCTGCAGCCCAGCCCCCGGCCCTCAGACCCCCGGCACCGCATTAACCCCCGCAGCTCAGAGCCAGGAGGGTTTTCGCTGCTCGGGGAGGGAAAGAATTCAGAAAGCCTCGGTGTTCCCCTTCCCCCGGGGGACAGCCCCTGGGGCCTCCGTGAGGGGAGGGAGCCGGCGCCTTTTGTGCCCCCACAGAAACGGCCGGAGCCCGCCCAGGGGAGGCTCAGCCCCGGCCCGACGGCGAGGGACAAGCCGGGGGCTGCTGGTCCCCCCCGTCCCCACACAGGGCCTGTTTCCCGCCGCGCACCGACCCTCTCCCCTCCGCGGGCCGAGCCACCCCCCGATGGCGGGGAGAGGCAGGCCCTATGCCCCAGCGCC